CTGTAATTTCAGCACTCAGAAGGCTGAGGCAAGAGGATCGTTATTGTGCAAAATTCCAGACCAGTCTGGGCTACAAAATAAGCTCAAGGCCAGAATCAACTGCATAGCAAGACCTTGTCTCAAAAAGACAAAAAAAAAAAAATCACAATAGATCCTGCAGAAATCCCAAATCTGTATTCTTTTTTTTCTTTTCTTTTTTTTTTTTTTTTGTACCAGGGATCAAACTCATAATCTCGAGCTTGCCAAGCAGGCACTTATGCCACTGAGCTAAATCCCTGGCCCTTTGTATTCTAATAAAATGGAAAACACAGATGAAATGTACAAATTACTAAATACATATGAATTACCAAAGCTAAATCAAGAAGATATAAAAATTCTGGATAAATCAGTATCAGTCAATGAAATTGAAGATGTAATTAAATACCAACCAAAAAAGAAAAACTCAGGCTCTGATGGAATCACTGCTGAATTCTGTAAGAAATTTAGATAAGAACTAATGTCACTAACCCTCAAACTCTAATGAAATTGAAAAGGAAGCAATACTCGTAAACTCTTGAAGACACTGGTGTAGGCAAAGACTTTATGAACAAAATCTCAATCACACAAGAAATATTACAAAGAATTAACAACTGAGCTCTCACCTTATTAAAAAGCTTTTTATACAGCAAAAGAAACCACCAACAGAATGAAGCAACAACCCACCATGTGAGAAAAAATTTTTGCCAGCTGTTCATCAGACGAAGGATTAATATCTAAATTATATAAAAAATTTAAAAAAACCAGATCCTTCCCAAATTTAAAGCCCCAACCCAAAAACGGGCATCTGAAATCAATAGATACTTCCTAGGTGAAGTAGAAATGGTGAATAAATACATGAAAAAAATTTCAGCATCACTGGTCACTCAAGAGATGCAAATTAAAACAGCACTGAGGTTCCATCTCACTCTAAAAAGAAAGGCCACTGCCAAGAAATCAACCAGTAACAAACACTGTCGAGGCTCTGGGGAGAAAGGTGTCCTTCTTCACTCTTGGCAGGAGTGTAGATTACTGCAACCACCGTGGAAATCAGCGTGGAAATTCCTCAAAAAACTAGAGGTTCCATTCCCATCCAGCTATTCCCAAAAGAATTGAAAGCATCATATACCATAGCAATATGTGTACACTCATGATTATAGCAGCACATTTTGTAATAGCCAAATCTTGGCAATAGCACGAAAAATTGACACAGCTTTAAAATAGAGAGCTCAGTGGGAAACACCCAGTGTAGAAGTGTGTATAGCATACTCGCTGTTGTATAAAACATTTTGTCCATTTTTGTTTTGAGACATGGTCTCACTAAATAGCCCAGGGTGGCCTGGAACTTGTGACTAACCTTTTGCCTCAGCCTCCCAAGAGCTGGTTTACAGGGGTGCACGTCCCCCTGGCTCCCCAGCCCTTTTTAATTTTGGTAGACAATGTCTCATTAAGTCACTTAATTGTCTGGAGTTTAAATTTGCCATTCTTCTGCTGAAGTGGGTTTGTGAACAATATATGAATCCAAGCAACCTAATTGATAAATTTGGGATTTAATTAGCTGAGCTTAGTGACCACTTGGGTAGAGACCCCTGTTTTGTACCACCAAGTGGCGCCAAACTGAAAAGTTACAAAGCTTTTCAAACAGAACCACAAAAAGACATCCTGTTGGAAACAAGTTAGCTAGAATCTTACATTAATTTTTGGTTGACACCTGTATCCTGCTTCTGTGTTGAGCAGGTTAATTTTTCTCCTGTGGGTGCAGCTCATTCTGCTTTTCTCATGGGATTGTACCCTGAGTAATTTTCCATTCTCCTGAGTCAGTACAGGACACTAGTTAAATGCAGGGTTCAAGATGGCATCAGTTATGCCAAGCTACAACACTGCCTCTGTCTGCTAGACTGGGATTAGAGACGTGGACCACAGCCCCTTCCTACCTTGTGCATAGGTGAGTGATGCTGGGGACCAAATCCAAGATTTTAAGCGAGAGTTCTACCACTGAGCTACACTCAGCCCATACCAGCCTTTTAATCAACTGAATTAACACAAGTAAAAACACCTTTCAGTCTTTATAATCAAGCCCAACTCATTTCCAGGGAGAGTCACCTTTCCTGGTTCTAAAGTACTTGCCTTTTCTCATTAAATTTCAGTCTCTGGCATTGCTTTTGTCTTCGTTCTTTCCTAAGACAGAGTCTCACTCTGTAGCTAGACTGGCCTCACACTCGAGCTTGAGATCCCCCAGCTTCAGCAGTCCACTTACTGGGACTCTAGGTCTGTGCCATCACATCCACTGCCACATTGCTTCTCTTTCAGTTTCTGAAACATGTCAACATTTCCCCTAAAGCAGGGCAGGTGCACATGCTCTTCCCTCTGCCTTGGCTGACCTGGTCTAGGCTCTTTTTATAGGTTGGCATTTTCAACCTTGGTTCTGATATTGAGATAGAGAGTAGGGGGTGCCAAAGCTGGCCAGGGTCGTAGGCCTGACCTGACAATTACAAGATCCCGCAACACGTGCGTAGAACAGTTCCCAAAGCGCTGCACATGGACTTCGCCCCAGAACTCAAGCAGATTTCCCACTGTATGGCCATGGGGCATGGGCATCCCAGCACCGCATCTCAGGACCCGGATGTAGATTTTCTCATGGGTTTCCTCCAGATTTAGCCAGGATAAAAGAAATGTAGCCATGAGGACCAGTACGATCTTAGCTTTCCATGATCGCTCAGTTTTCCAGATGTAGCGTGTACTTTTACCTTTCCTCCTATCCTCTCTTTCTCATTATTCAGCCCACGCTTGTGCTGCAGAGCCAGTTTCTCTCACACATTGCACTTTTACTTTCTCAAATAAACTTTGCCACTACCGTTTGTTTGTTTCGTTCAATTCTTTGTTCCAGGCAGGAGGAACATGGAACCTAACTCCAGGAGAGACGAGCAACCCCGACCCACTAATGTTTAGTTTGAGAGCCACTTTTTTTTTTTAAAGTAACAATCTACCTGAAAACACTGTCATCTCTTCAAAGAGTCCAGCCCAGACCACCTTATAGAAAAATTGAGTAAATGCCTCAGGGAGAGTAGGATATATACGTTTGACTACCCAGTCTAACTCAGTATCTTTCCTGCACGGTCTTTATCACAATGTCCAGATTTACTTTCTGAATGACACCAGTCATTATTTGTGATTACAGTGCTTGTGTATCTTCTTCTTTTTCAAAAATTTTTTTTGTCTTTTTTTCATTTTTACCGGTACCGGGTATCGAACTCACGACCGACTGCTTGCAAAGCTGGTACTTATGCCGCTGAGCTAAATCCCCAGCCCCCACTTGTGTATCTTCTAAGATGTGTATTGTCTCTCTACACCCCTACGGTAACAATACTCATGAAAGCAGGGACCATGTCCTAATTTTAACTCCATCTTTAGCAACCCAAATAATAAACATTGTGTGCTGTGTCTATTTGGTAATAGGGATTGATCCCAGGGCCTCTTGCATGCTAGGCAAGCACTCTGCCACCAAGTATATACTCTCAGCCCCAAGACATAAAAATTTGTTGAATGAATTCATGCAGCACAGAACTGTGGACCAGACACTATTCTATGGACTTCGCAAACATAGCTCTTTTCATCTTCACACTTAGTGAAAGAGGTTGGTACTATTACCCATTTTACAGTCGATTAAATGAAGGAACACAGCAACTGAGAAACACACCTAATGGGCACAGTTGGCCACCAGAGAAAAAGTGGCTAATCATAACGGGAGGCTATTCTGTATACAAACTGGTAGAAGGATGAAATTGAATGCACTGATGGAAATGCATTCTCAGACCTCACGCTAGGGGGCGCTCTCTTCAAGGTCTTGACGCCCGTCACTCCAGGCGCGCACTTCCTTTGCGTGTCGGGCTCGCGCGCGCTGCCGCGGCACCGGAAGTGACTGAGCTTGCAAGTTCCCCCGGTCTCTTCAGGGGAAACTGAGGCCGGCCTGTTCGGAGAGACGGCGCGAGCAGCCAGCCAGGTAGGCCGGCCCGAGTCCGCAACGCGGAACTCGGCCGCGAAGAGCTCTCGCGTCTGGAAACCGCCAGGCCGATGCCGGGGGATGTGGCCCCTCACGGCCTGCTGGGCTCGCAGGTGAGAGCGCCGCCTCCCCTGTGCGTGACAGGCCCTGTACCCAATGGGAGCCTTCTCTGGCCCGCTTCCGTGCCAACTGGACTCACTGATTGGCTACGGTGGGGCGGGCCGCCGGGGGCCAAACCCCTCCTCTCAGAAAGGTCTTGGGGGCGCCCCGAGGGAGGGCGGTTGCCTAGCAACGGGGCGGTGGCTCGGCGGGTACCCGGCCTAGCGAGCTCGGGAAGCCGCGAGGCCGCAGCCCACCCACTCGGGGCTCTGGAGAGGTGCAAACCCCAATCCTTGAGCCCACCCTGGGGCTCCAGGAAGCCGCCTTGGACTGCCAAGGAAAACGCAGGCTCAGCTCTGGGGGGGCCTCGAGCAGGCCTCGGCCCCTCTTCCTGACCCAAGGAAAGGCCCAGTGCCTCCCCCTCACCCTATCTTTGTGCAGGGCGCCGGCGGCCATTGTGTCCGGGCGGGGAATGGAGGACCTGGCAATTTCCCACCGCCACGTCCAGGGTCTTTGGGGAATTCAAAGAAAACCAGCGGCGTTTTTGGGGGGTCCCCGGCCTTCAGCCTCCCTCGAAGGCCCCGGGGCGGACTTTCCGAGGTCAGGTCGCAGATCTGAGACAGTCTCCCCTTCTCTGTGTCCCTCCTTGAAATCTTGAGATCCAATGAGAAGTCCCTTAGGGGTTTTCGGAAGCCTCACCCAGGGCTGACACTTAAATAGAAAAAAAAAAAAAAAATCCCTGCACTAAAGCCACATCAGCCACCTCCAGGAGAGTTCTCCTTGGCTCCCAGTAGGAGGCGGAGAGCCAAGGGGCGTGCGAGAGCGAGGGGGCTGGGCTCCCGGGTGGCTGGAGGCCGCTGCTGCAGCGCGGAGAGGCTGTCCTCGATCCGGCGATGGAGGAAGCGAGCAAGGGGGCAGGTTCCTGAGCTTCGCAATTCCTGTATCGCCTCTGGGCTCTCAGCCTACCGGGTCGCATGATCCCTCCGGCTGGAGCTGGTTTTTTTGCCAGCCGCCACGAGGCTGGCTGAGTTACCGGCTAGCCGGCCGCCACCTCCTCTCCCGACCTATGATACAAAAGATCTTCCGGGGGCTGCACCTGCCTGCTGTCGCCTAAGACGGATTTGAATGTAGGTGGTGTGGGGGCGGAGGGAGAGGGGACTGCCGGTGGTGGTGACTTTCCGAGGAAGGCGATTTTACGGAGAAAAGGGGGTGGTTGTGGTAAAAGAGGCTGATGAGACGATTCAGAGCCTACTTGTCCTTTCAATTTGACTTCATTGAAGTCCCTTGGAACCTGGACCCAGACCGTCGTAGGCACCACAAAGAAACCAGTTGTGGTACCTGGAGGGGAAATGGGATGTTGTAGGGTAATTGGCATGCATATTAATTTCTTTTTTTCCTGAAGCTCTTTCTCTCTTTTCAGAACCTTATTTTGGCTTTGGATCTTAGAAGAGAATCACTAAGCCAGGACCAGACTCAGTAAGTGAGCAGGTGTTTTTGGACAATGGACTGGTTGAGCCCATCTCTATTATAAAAATGTCTCAAAGCAACTGGGAGCTGGTGGTTGACTTTCTCTCCTACAAGCTTTCCCAGAAAGGATACAGCTGGAGTCAGTTTAGTGATGTGGAAGAGAACAGGACTGAAGGCCCAGAAGGGACTGAATCAGAGATGGAGACCCCCAGTGCCATCAATGGCAACCCATCCTGGCACCTAACTGATAGTCCCACGGTGAATGGGGCCACTGGCCACAGCAGTAGTTTGGATGCCCGGGAGGTGATCCCCATGGCAGCAGTGAAGCAAGCTCTTAGGGAGGCGGGCGATGAGTTTGAACTTCGGTACCGGCGAGCATTCAGCGACTTAACATCTCAGCTCCACATCACCCCGGGGACAGCATATCAGAGCTTTGAACAGGTAGTGAATGAACTCTTCCGGGATGGGGTAAACTGGGGTCGCATTGTGGCCTTTTTCTCCTTCGGCGGGGCATTGTGCGTGGAGAGCGTAGACAAGGAGATGCAGGTATTGGTGAGGCGGATCGCAAGCTGGATGGCTACTTACCTGAATGACCACCTAGAACCTTGGATCCAGGACAACGGCGGCTGGGTAAGAACCACGCCCCTTATGTGTCCCTTTTCTTTGCTATCCCACCAGCCCTCTCCCTGTATCTTTTTCTGTGTTGGGAATGTTGATTGTTAAGGAGACCTGTACCACAAGAGGTCTTTGGAAATAAGGATGAGCCAGTTCTTGATGGATTCCTCTCTCTGCATTCCGATCAGTTTCCTGACCCCACTCCAGTGTTAGGGTTTCCCAGCAAAGAAAACCATAGCCTATCTGTTCATTTGACTCAAAACCTTTGAGAATAAGAAGTTGGTCCAGTGCTTCCCTCACCCTGACAATAGTGGTCACCATGCGGAGTGGTGATGCACGTAATACCTGGAGAAGCAGATGACCCACAAGTCCCTTCATCTTTCTCCTGCAAGGGTGTCAGTCCTATCGTGGCTTCCCTCCCCTAAAGCAAGTTTCCTTTATATTTGTTTAATGTGCATAGGACTCCTCTCAGACCATTTGGGTGGGCAGGAGTTCCCACTGGCTTGGATGGCTGAGGACTGACTGATTTTAGCATAGGTTGTACTAGTTGTGTTTGTGCTGTTTCTGCCAAGTTCATCTTGCCCAAAGTGTGTAACTTTCTGCATGACTGGTCTATTTGTGGACTCTTGCTGTGTCACATTAAGCGGCTGGACTTTGCACCTCACTGCCTGGGGTCAGTTGGGGAGTTCCAGCTGCTCTGCCTGATAACTTTCTGGTCAGGAACTAGGGGGCCTCTTTACCATTCACTGTTTGCTGTCAAAGCAAGAACCCCATCTGTGGGGTTCTCTGTAGAACATTAAGATTTGGTGACAGACTGGACGCAGGTGTAAGTCCTGTACCTGTCACTTAATTAGTATGACCTTGAACAGATTGGCTTACTTTCTTGAGCCTTAGTTTCTTCCACTAAAAATTGTGGCAACTGCTCCTTGCCTTGAAGAGTATTTTGGAGTATTATGAATCTTAGAGAAGGTGCTCACAGTAACTGATACCAGAAAGTTCCTTTTCCGTGGAGGGAGAAACTTGCTCACCTCTAGTCAGGATGAGCTGGAGGTGAGAGCTTCGTTATTAGTGGTAGCTGTAGGCAATTTTTACCCTCCTTCAGTGAACTCTGTTCTACTTCCTTGGTGTATCTCTCTGCTTGGGGAAGTATATGTCTTAGGAGAGGTATTCTGTCCCTTCAGAATAAGCAGATGACCTACAGGCCATGGGAAATAAGTCATCCATTGCAGGAGCTGTGGTGGGAAAGGCCATGCACCACTGACACAGGAATGTCAGGAATGCAGTTGTCCATAGGTTGGGCCTAGGGTGTGGCAGGCACCTCACTTTACCACTGAGCTGCTGGGACCTCTTGGGTTTGCCCTGGAACCCAAACATCTCGGTTCCCATTTCTTTGAAACTTTATCAGCTCTTCCCTTCTACCAACTTCTGTAAAAAGCAAAGAGGTCATCAGTAGAAGTTGGATGGCTTGGTCAGAATTGGGGGAGACAAAGATGGGCTCTCTTGAGCTAAAGATGACCAGACTTGAAAGCCATGCTAGTTCCCTGGGAGGTAGAGGAGATAAATGATTAATTAGTTCCTGTTGGTTTGTGTGATGACCTGTTCTTTTCCCTCCTGCTTGGATTCTCATTGGGGGCAAATATTTGTTCAGCTGATTACAGAAGGAACAAGGTTTCAGCACTATAGTCACATTCTCTGAAGCATCTCCAACTGGTCCTAATTTGCCTTTGGCCAGTGGTCCTAAAACCAGCTAAGTTGTTGCCAGCTGTAAACAAATGGCAGCCTGATCTGCTAGCCAGCCTCTCAAGAGGGTACCCTGACCAGAGGGTTGCCAGCTGCCTGGTGTTGCTTAAGAAAAGACTTAGACACAGCAGCTCTGGGCAAGTTCATTAGGTCTTCACCGATTGAAATTTTGTCTTCCATCTCTTTGCTCAAGAATTACCAGAGCCCGTTGGACAACATACCACATGTTACTTCCTCTTGGTGAACAGGAGGGATGTGTACAGAAGAGCCAGTTATGTCAGAACCATTTCTACACATGCATTCTTCCCTTGTGGCCAGGGAGTAAAGAACATTTGACTCAGAATTCTTTGAGCCTGGGGTACCCACCCACTTCCTTGTTAGGAGTGTCCTGTTCTGAGCTGTGTGGACTGGCTGTTGCAGTAACATCTCATACTCGTCCTGTAGGCTGGAGCTGTGAGATCCTTGAGTGTAGGAGTTAAGCCAGTCCACCTCCAGATATGCTGTAAAGTTAGTAATCCTACAGGAAAGGGGAAGGAAGTTAGCCTTTATTGAATGTCTCTTAATGTATTTGGTGTGGTGTTAGGTCCTTTTCTTGTGCAACCAGTGTATTGAGCATCTACAATAGAACAGACACAGTATCTTCCACATGGAAATGGTAGCTCTTTCATGTAGTCCACACATGAAGCCCCTAGTGGCAAAGTGACTGACCTCTGTTTTGTCAGCAGGCTAAGTGTCCAAGTGAGAATGTACACAAAGCTTGGCCTGACTCTGAAACCTAAACACTTTCCATCCATATCAGCTTGTCCAGGGAGTAATAAACAGACTGGTGTAGAAAGCCAGAGATGCTGTTGGGCCAAGCACAAAGCTGTAAAGATGCTTTCTCTGAGCCGTGGTCTCAATATCGTTCATGTAGTGGTAGGAAAGACAGTGCCTTTGTCAGCAGCAGGTTTCCAAAGGTATGATTGGCCTCATTATCTGGCATTGCTAAAAGTCAAATGTCAAATGTGATAGTTGGCAAGTGGGCCTTAGGTTTTGCCCTGATTGGGCTTCTTGTTGATTTCTTGTTAAAACGTGAGGCTAAGAATGTAGCTCAGAGGTAGAGTGCTTGCCTACCTACGTGAAGTCCTGGGTTCAGTCCTTAAGAAAACTCCTTTGCAAAAACCAAAAACCCCAGTCCTTGCCAAACAGATGACACTGGCGTGCATGCAGGGAGGTGCCCTGTCTCAGGTAACACTGTTAAATTGCAGTGTGATACTCCAAGGTCTGGATTTCCAGCCTTTATCTGAGTCACCTGGCAAAATCCTGAACCTGTTTGTCTCATCCATTTGTCTCTCCCATCTATAAAATGGAATAATGATAGTCAGCTGCCATAGCTTGACTCTAGTAAAGGATCTAGAATAAAAGCCCTTCCCTTACCTTAATTGTAGGGTGGAAGCCCTGCTTTTTAATGAATGGGCTTCCTCCATCAGGGAACTGAACCTTGCCTACTGGAGTTAGTCCTTAAGAAACAAAGCCAGTTCCTGAAATATTAGAGAATTGTATGAGCTTTCCAGTGGGAATGTGGCTGAGGACACAGGTGATTCAGTCCACTTTGGGGTAGCTGTTTCTGGAGGAATCCTTTAGGCTGATGGAAACCATTTTTGAGAGCTATGAACAGAGTGTGTGAGAAGAAAATATAAGTTGGCCTTTGGAAGGCTGCATGGCTCTGGTCTCCCAGTCTCTGGGGTTCTGCCTGTTCTGGCTTCTTTGGCATAGCTTGATTGAGATGCCTGCATCTTTTGCAAATGCTGGCAATTCTGTGGTTTTCTTGGGGCAATCCCATTAGAAACCTCACATGGAAATTTTTAGTAGTCTTGTTCAGGTCTCAAAACGAAGTAGAATTATTTCAGGGGTTCCCCCTTGGAACACCCACTTGTTCTGGGTGTACATTTTAGGTTGCTCTTAAAAACTCTCTTGCCATCAGAGGGTTTTCCAGATGTCTTAGGAATAATTTCCCCAGTAGACCCGTGGAGCCCTTCACTTGGTTAATTTTATGTTAGAAAATTACCCAGGTAATTTTTAGGGGACCACAATAGAACCCAAAGGGTTTCTTGACTTTCTTGTGGGCGGTTACCAGATAGATATGTTTGGGCCTCAGGAAGTTGCAGTCTGCTGACTGTCCCTGCTGTAGGCACCTGTCCTGGGGGCTGGTAGCTTGAACGTCCTGACTAACCTCCCTGGTTTTTCCAGTGCCCTCAGCCTTCTCTCCTGAGTCTTTCTTTTAGCAGTTGTGGTTTCATCTGGGTTTAGCTTGGATAGATTTGGGTTAAGTCCCACTGAGCTCTTCTTCTACAGAAACAGAATCTGCTACCCTGATTTATTAGGGCCTCGGCCCTGAACCCCAGCCTCCAACCCAAACCCACAGTGTCCTAAGGAGTCACCCTCTCTTCTCTGAAGGACTCATTTTGTCCTGGATCCTTTGTCTCTTCTGCTCCTACAGCCTACTGTCTATCTTTCCCATTCCCAGTTGGCAGACCTGCATCAGACAGTCCCGATGGGGAGTTTCTGTTTAACCTGGGAAAAAAAAGACCCAGGAGAATATGTTACCAGCTTACTCAGCCTTTTTCTTGGTTTGGTCTGTAGTGAACTTTAGATTGAAGAGGAAAAGAATCGGTAGTAGAGTTAAGTTGGTGCAGAGAAGGTATTTCTAGGAAATATCCTGTGTCGCAGAATTAGGAGCTTCTTGAGGGTGGAGCACCCATCTTGTCCACACTTATTTCTTTACCACTGACCACAGGTCTTGGAAATGCTAAATTTTTAAAGAAACAGACATTATCAAACCAGAATAATAATTATTGAAGTGAACCTTTACCCATTCATTCATTCATTCATTCAGTGTTTATTGAATTCCTGCTGTGTGCCAGGCTGACCTAGGTACCTGGAATACAGCAGTGAGCAAAAACTTAGCTTCTGTCCTCATGAGGCTCACATTCTAATGGGGGTGCCAGACAGAAAATACATAATTGTGCAGTGACATTTTTGTCAGCCACAGTAGTGCCATAAGACTATATGGCCTAAGGGCTGGGGATTTAGTTCAGCGGCATAAGTGCCTGTCTTGCAAGCAGGCAGTCGTGAGTTCGATCCCTGGTACCGATAAAAAGGAAAAAGACAAAAAAAAAAAGACTGTATGGCTTGGTGACACTTGAAGCCATCCTAGTTCATTTAAGTATACTCTGATGTTCATACAATAAAACTTAAATCTAAATTACAGAAGTTGACACAGGTCTGTAATTCTC